GCTGCGCTTCCCTCTTCATCCGTTCTTCGTGGAATTCTTTTGTTGTTACCAGATAGCCCCCGCACAACTCATGCCGAATTCCTATCGGTGGCTCTCCGCCTTCCTAGTCCGTTGCAAGGAAAATGGGGTCACCGCCACTTTGGACTTGTTTCATTACTTCTACCGGCTCACCCCCCATAATTCCGATGGTTTCCTGAGCATTGCAGCCCGTCCGAAACGGAGGTTGTTCAGCGGAGCACCGAGTTCCATCCATGATTGGAAGAATCGGTTCTTCTTTGTGCGGTATGCGGATGCTCGTCTGCCATTGCGGTGGAATGGATATCCGCCCAAGATAGGGTCTCCGGAGCTGACCGACGATCTGGCGGAAGACATCAGGAAGATTTCGACGGGCGGCGTCCGGTCCTTAGATGACTTCCTAACTTTCGAGGCACTTGCCGCGGCAGGAATAGGTACCGCCCATACTCTCGGGCATCTTTCCTCCTACGCTCGTCTCGGGGTACTGGGCGGTCCTGACCTCCGAGGTGAGTCCCTCCTGACGCTCGTCCATCTAACCCATTTCCCTTCTTTTTTCTTTCAGGTCTCCCCCCAACCCAAGAACAAATGAACCACGAGAAGCTCCTCAAGACGAGGAAAGGCAAAGGCGCTGCTGCCGATGCTGCCCTCGCCAAGGCCAAGGCCGCCCAGACAGCAGATTCTAACTCATCCGCCTCCCAGGCCGATCGTCGCACGGTGGAGGCGGAGCAGCATCTCATCGCCACGGTGATGGCACAGGGGTCCCAGGCCCCAGTCCTCAAACCTGGTGTCCCTGAAGTTGTGGCGCCTCTGCAGGCCGTTCATCCCCATGAAGGGGAGAAGGTTTTGGACAAGAAGTCCAAAAGGCCTTGGGGGGCTTCCTCTTCGGCCCGAAGGGCAGGAGTTGGTCCTTCCCTCCCTCGGGCGTCCGGCCCATGATGTCTGGCAGGAGATTGCCTCTCTGGTCGGCGTGGAAATGCCTCCCCGGACGTCTTCGGAGGCTTCTAATGCGGCTCTGGCCGCTACTCTTCAGGTAAGACTTTACTCCGTCCAAGGTGCTTGATTACCTCATCCTATCGTTTTGAAGTCTCACTTCCCGTATTTGATCTGTAGGTCGGGCTCTCCGTTCTTCAGTCTGAGGCTGCCCGAGAGGCCGAGGTCCTCCAGGTGAGGAATAAAACGGATGCTGCCCTGAAGAAGGCAAGAGAGTCCGCTCGTCTGCAGGAGAAAGAGCTGGCTGCCAAAGACAAGGAGCTACAGGCCGCCCTGAAGGTAGCCCGCGAGTCCTCCGCGAAGCTCACGGTCCTGGAGAGAGCTGGATTCAAGCTCGTCCCGGCTCTCCCCGCCCCCAAGGATGAGGCCCCCGAATGGCTCGTTGACGATTCTGGGTATCACAACTCCGGGGCCTTCATGATCACCGCCCAGAGGTACCTTGGGGGTGCTTTTGGCGATGTGTTCGCCGCTGAGCTGCAGAAGCAGGCGCCGAGAGACCGGCTCAAGTTCGGGGTCCGAGTTCTGGAGAGCGCGCCCCTGGCCGAGAAGTTCTTGTATGACGTTGGGGATAGCTCCTTTGTCATTGGCTACAACGAGGGGGTGAAGGCCACATTGCCGGTCTTTGCCGCTCTTCAGGGCCCCCGATTTGACCTGGCTGAGCATACTTCAGACCCAGAGCTGATCCGGGCGGCGGGCAAGTTGAAAAGGGACGCCCGGTGGGAAGAGGCCAGAGCCAGAGGGGAGGTCCCGGAGCCCCCGTCCCCCGAGCCGGAGCCAGAGGAAGAAGAGGAGACCGTTCCTGGGGGGTCCCGGCCTGGTTCTCCAAACTTTGTTTAATGTAGCTTGTAACTTCTTCGATTTGACTATGTACTTATCCGGCCAGTAGAGCCGAGGAATACACAACTCTTTTGCCCTATCATTGTCTCTACGTTCATGACTCTTTCTGTTTCCTTTTATTGTTAATAGTATTTTGCTCTTATGGACCATGGCCCAAGTTCGTGAGGACGTTCCTGCCCATTATTCGTTCCTGTATTCTTAGAGATACGAACGTATGCTCGGGACTTTGCCTCGTATGTGTAGACCACCCCTAATGCTGTATTCTCCCGGACCAGAATTGGTGAAAACGTCCGTCACGTGGTTGTAGGCTCAATCATCTGCGTTGTGCGCGCCTAACTTAAACTTGGTGGGGCGACGTCCGTCTGTATGGCCATACGTGGAGATACGAATGCACTCCTCAGAAACAACGCCTCGATGGAGAAGTTCGCCGTGTTAGGAATAGCATAACCTTTTACGCTCTGCGCGTAAGCCAGATATCAGTCTCGGACGTTCGTCTGATGTGAACATGGGAATCATGAACGCATCTCGCGAATGCGCACGTCTTCCTGTGAGTTTAGCCTGTAGGTGCGATCTCTGTTTGCCCCTATGGGGGACGTTCGTGGCATCAAACCGAATCTTTCTGCGGTGACCGTGGGGTGAGGACATCGAGGTGCCTTTAATACCGTGGTAGGTACCGGTATCTAGGCGCCACGTGTTCCACCGTGATAGGCGTGATCCCGCGGTGCTGCCTATAAGTACCCAAGGTCTCGCGAATTCCCCCTTTGCTTCAACCCTAGCTCTTGTGCTGCGCAATCACTTCCTCTCTCTAACTTTCTTTGGTACTGCTTCAGGCCCAAACACCCGTAGGTACCGAACGTCGTCATGTCTTTGTCCATGTCGGGATTCCAAACCATTGATAGGTTCGACGATGGGTGTTCCTCTGGTGATGACCTAGAGTTCTATGAGCGGGGTATGCCACCATGGCCCCCCCGACATCACCTGAATTTTTCCGGCGTTCGTCGTCAGCGCCAGCGTCTCTTGAACGCCGACCGTCGGTTGATAAGCCAATGGTTCCTTCCCCCAAGGGGTTATGACGATCGGACTTTGCGCCACCCAATGCGCCTTCTGCCCGGCTATGTGGTGGTCCACTTGGACTCTGTTATAGCCGGCCTTCTTTTTCCCCTTCATATCTTCCACATAGAGCTTTTTAGGAGCCTCGAGGTGACACCTGCTCAGTTCGTCCCCGCTGCTTATAGGATCATCGCGGGTTTTATAATTCCATGTCACAGTGTTGACGTGACCCCCACCGTAGATCTATTTCATTACTTCTTCCGGTTATCCCCCTTCGGACGTACGGGGTATTTAACCCTGGTTGCGCGTCCGTCCATGGTTCTGTTCTCAAACAACGCCGGGAACCCGGACGGCTGGGAGGAGCGGTTTTTCCTCGCTGAAGTGGGCTCCCCGATGCCATTCTCCGATAGGTGGAACACCTACCCGGTGAAGTCCATTCCGCCGCCCATGACGGATGAGGAGCTTGGCTATGCCAAGCGCATAGCTGGTCTTGGCGTCCAGAACCTCCGGTCGCTGGTGGCCGAGCCTTTTAAGGCCCGGGCCGGGCTAGGTGCGTCCGTTTGTACTTGCATCGTCCTGTCACCCTTTCGCTGTTATGGCTCTGAACGTCTTGATTTTCTTCCTGCAGGAGTTTTCCCGTCTACATCATCCATGGGACGTGCCAACGCTGCTTCGCATGCCCGCGGCCGTGAAAGCAAGGATCATGACAAGGGCAGAAAGCCGCTCGTCCCCAAGATCGAGCCTCGGGTGACCAAGAGGCGGTCGGACGACGCATCGGAGGTTGGGGCTTCCAAGAGGCCGTGCATTGACGGTTCCGCTTCCAAGGCCATCATAGTGGCCGACGACTCCGATGGTGAGCCTGGGAGTCCCTTGAAGCGCAGACCTTCTACCAAGAATAAGCCCCCTGTTTCTCCTCCGCGGAATTCCGAGGTCCGTCGCCTTCGGGATGAGGATGTTCATGCTTCCAAGGGTTCTGACGATGCCTGTCCCCCTTCGCCTTCAGAAACCAACGGGTCCTCCCTTGGCCTTATCGAATTCTCCGGGGTTGGCCCTCGCAAGGAGTCGATGATGCTCTTCGGCCAGACCGCGTCTTCCATCTGGTGCGGCCTCAACCTCAAGGTCCCCCAAGATTTCGCCGCCCAAGAGGTTCCTGAGGATCTCCTAGAATGTGGGCAAAGCACCCTGGACAAGGCCGGGCTTTACTTCTGTGACACCGCACCCGAACGTCCTTGAGAATTTGATTTTAGAATTCAAAGTTTATGTATTGGATTTCTGATTCCCAAACAATTGTAAAACGATTGTTGTTTTACGTAATTCATGATCGATTATGATACCGCTCAAACTCGTACATTAGTGTTGGGCTTGAGGATACTCGTTTGGGCCTTATTAATAAATAAAAGATCCAAACATTATCTAAATAGTTATACATAACGTTTCAAGACAAGTTGAGGAAGGGCGGGCAGTCCATACATTATTTTGGGCTCAACCCGCTAAAATAGCAAATATTTGAGGACGGCGTCGTAGGCCCACTTGGGGGCAACCCACACGGCTTGTAGCCCAATAATATGAATGACAAATGTCAAAATAAGCGATAGGATGATTAAAGAAGAGTACAAATGCCTATAACCCCATCTTTGGCATTATTGAGCCAAATAATGGGAGTAGGATTTTCCTTCTATATTATCCATCAAGTAAGTTATTGAGATGAGCCTACACATATTGGAGATAAATAATGTTATGTAGGAAGTTGACTTGTTCTAAATAAATTAGGATGAGTCCAAAAAGACATCTTTGACAAAAGATAAAACAATAGGACCCATTCTTCCATTTTTGGATGTATTGATTAATGTTTTGCTCCCAAAAATAATGGGGGAACACATGCTTCGCCCCATCCCTTATTTTCCACCTGCAAGACAAGAAAAATAAGGTTAGGAGTCTGCCATAGTTGACTCTAGGGGCTGGACTTGACAAAGGAAACAAAAGGGAACCCCACCTAGTCTATTTTCGCTCATAAGAGTGGTGCTGGTTGTCTCCCTTCATGAGTGATGTTATACTAGGCCAAATGAGGTGTATAAGGTGTCCTTGGATAGCTTTTGAAGTCTATTTCTATAATTGAGTGGTCTCAGTTCGAGAGGAGAGAGTAATCATCCAAAAATCGATCTGGAACGAGCAGTGGTCTGTGAACTCGAGCTGTGAGAGTGCTGAGACTGTTTAGTTGATATCTCGAGTTTTACCAATCCAATTAAGGCGTGTGAGATACCAAAAGAAATCTATCAAGACGAGGAATCCGTGAAGGTCTGGTTTGCATCAATCGGAGTAGAGGAAGGCTTCCAAATAGTCCGAGCAGAACGCGACCTCGCAGGGACGGATTTACTCTTCTAAGTGAGTTTTTAATCCCAAAACCTTTCCATTCATTTTCCAAATGATATGAACGATTGGTGGGACTATTATACACTACTCCAAGTGTATAAAACATCCCTATTAAGTTATTTTATTGATGTAAAGGTTAGATACTAACGTAGATGCAAATATTGGAAAACTAGGAATCGAGTTAGCCGGAAAACACTCGTTCTAGGGGCTGTTTTCGTATCAACGATTAGGGGTTGAAATAGCAACTTGAGGAGGCTGTTTAGCACCCATTTCTAAGCAAGGAATCAGTTCTCAAGCTTCCTTGGCCGAGGCTTTAGCCATTGGATCGAGAAGGAAGGTTTTAAAGCTCATTTGAGGTGAGGACCGACATCTAGTTGCTTACAACTTGTAGGTTAAGCATGAGATTACCTAAATGCCAAAATCATGTTTTTCCATGGATTATGATGATAATTTATTGATGGAATATTGATCTATTTTCCAAAGAATGAAATGAGAAATGATATGGCAAAGTATTGATAAAAATGGAGTTAAATGAACTATTGTGCGAAATGGTCATTTTACTCATGTGTGAATTGTGTAGATACATAAATGATTATTTATGTATTACATTGAATGATTAAGTTGCTGCTACATATCTCTAAATATGTAGGGTTTTACAAATGGAATATATGATGGATAAGAATAATCTTAATAGTATTGAAATACTAGTTAATGATTGTTGTAATTGTTAAGGAAATTGAATCTAAGGATTTGATTATAATTGATGTACTTGATTGTGATGCAAGTGACAAATTTGATGTAATGTGATGCTAAGACCATGGTTGGGCAGTCCGTAGGGATGTCCCAAAATAGATTATTGATATTACAATTCTAGGCATAGTGAGTGCTTAGGAATTGGGGTCTATGCCAATGTAAGGAGATGTACTTGAGCCCGTGCTCATAGAATTGCATTGGGTAGACATGATGAGGTGATTGTTGTGCATGGTGATGTAGTTGAGTTGGACTCAAGAAATGCACGGTGGAGTAGTTAGCTTATGTTAATTAAGGTGCATGGTGATGTAGTCGAGTTGGACTCGAGAAATGCACGGTGGAGTAGTTAGCTCATGTTAATTAAGGTGCATGGTGATGTAGTCGAGTTGGACTCGAGAATGCGAACATATGTGTTAGGGTTGAACCCTATGTATTGTTGTGACTAGGGGTCACGGGATTTTGGGGTATGTTGGATAAACAAACCTTGGGCCTACGGGCCGACTACTTGACTTTATATATAAAGTAAGTATATTTTTAAAAAGGGGTAACTTGGGGTTACGGCCTAGATTATACTATCACCCTATTTGAGGGTCTTGTGTTTGAAATACTTGTTGTATATCTATTAGATGCCATCCACACCAGCACTTTATAGCCCTATAGAGTGCTGACCCCTTCGGGGGCGTCCCACTACCATTTTTCAGGTTGAGGCTAGAGCTTGCTTCCTGTGCTCGTTGCTCGAGTGATCATCTAGGAGGGAAGACTTGGTTCGTGCTTCCTCCATTCGGTTTTTAAACATTAATAAACATGCTCATGGATATTTTCCGGTGTGGCCTTTTTGTTTTAAACAATGTTTTCCGCTGCATTATGAATTACTTATTATGTTTGTTTATGGATGTTATATGTGTGAATGATATTCAAGACGCTTTGTATAATATGGATGTGTTAAACTGCGGTTGACTATTCGTATTGTACGGCGGGTTGTTGACGTGTCCGGGTAGGTCCGGGGCGTGACAACTTCCACAGGGCTCGGATGGCTTTCGAGCATCAGGGCAAGGAGATGGCTCGAGTACGGGCTGAGTGCGATGCCCTCCTGAGGAATGCCAAAGGCAGGGCCGGAACACTTCAAGAAAAAGCCGATGCCTATGACAAGCTTGCCCAGGAGAACGCTTCCCAAAAAGAACTCCTTCGGAAGCAGGAGGCCGAGCTTGTGGATCTTCGCAGCCGGCTGTGGGCCGTGGAACAGGCAAAGGTGGAAATCCGTCGTACGGGTGTGGATAATCATGTCCCCATCTATGAGGCCGATGTTTCGAAGATCAAGGAATCTAGTTCCATTGAGTTCCAGAAGTCCAAGGCCTACACTGGTGCCATCCAGACTATGGCCAGAAAGTTCCTTCCGAGGTTCGTCGGTGAGTTCTTGGCCACCTGCCCGGACCCTTATTTAGATGGCATCAAACTGCTTCAGGCCACCCCCACTGGGGAGCGCTTCCTTGATGATCTTGCCGACGATACTTATCTCAAGGGTATTGTCGGCCTTGTAGCAGAGAATCTTCCGGCCCTTGAGCGTCATTTTGGGGCCCCTTTGACCCTGCGGCAGCTGGATTTGATTCCCTGATGGTAGACGCCCATAAAGGGGCCCTTGAGCTGTTGAGGGAGCGTAAGGAGCGCGAAGAGGCTGAAGCCAGGGAAAAGGCCAAACAAGTCTCCTTCAAGGTCCCGACTCCGGATGTTGACCAAATTTGACTCTTCGCTCATAGTTTTGTACTTATATCCATTTTTTCATTATGTACTTTGTACCTTACATATTGTACTTTCCGGTCATTAGTACCGAAGAATAAAAATTATCGTTTGCTCCATGTTCGTCTAGCATTCCCTGCTCCATTTTTTTTTTTGGAGTCTTTTATCGGTCTTTGTCCTTCCCAAGCTTCGTGATTATTTGTCTCCTGCCTTCGCAGGAGACGTTCGTCATCCCCACTCTGAGAAAAACAGGTTTATCCACGTCGGGATTCCCTATCTCCGTTCGTCCCCAGCTGCGAACTATTAGCCTTCTGGCTTCGCAGAAGGCGTTCGTCTTTCGCTCATCAGGGGGAGGAACTAGGCTTCGTTCGTCCTCGTCGTGATCCTACTAGTCTTCTTACTTTGAAGAAGACGTTCGGTCAATCATCGATCGCAAGGAGGTCACTGGTTTACCCTATCGCGGGTTCCCTGCTTCGTCGTCCCACGCTCGTGGTCCTACTAGCCTTCTGCTTCAGCAGAGGACGTTCGTCGATCCACGGGTTATGGGAGGAACTGGTTTATCTTGCCGAGGTTCCCTTTGGTACGTCTAGCCTCCCCCACGTTTCTACTAACCTCCGCGTCGGGAGACGTTCGTCACACGCGGTGAAGGAAGATCAGGCGTACCTCGTCAAGACTCCCTCTCTCATAGGAGCTTCTCTCTCCCCTTCTCCTCTCTCTCTCTTTTTTTTTTTTTTTTTTTTTGAGGAGGAAATCGTTTCAATAGCACTTCGGCTTTTAATCTCTCTGTAGGAAGTGAAGAACAGAAATAATCCTTTTAATATAGAGACGACGATCGGTGGTGTTACATGGTACTTCGACCAAAATATTACAAAACGATCTATCTCTAATTATTGGTAGAATTTCTTCAGGTGTTCGACGTTCCAGATCCCAGCGTGGTTCCCCTCCAAGGTATGGAGGAGGAACGTCCCCTGGTTGTATCTTCTCATGACCTTGTACGGTCCCTCCCAACTTTTGGCCATCTTGCCACCCTCGAGTGGCTTGCTCTTCTCCCTCTTTCTGAGTACGAGGTCCCCAGCTTCAATTTCGCGGATCTTCACCGCCTTGTTGAAATATCTTTGGGTGGCTCGGTGATATTCCTCCATGCGAAGAGCTGCTAGGTCTCTTCGTTCCTCAATGAAATGGAGCTCCGCTCGTAGGTTTGCCTCGTTGTCTTCCGGCTGGAAATGCTTTGTGCGATGCGTGGGCACTAGCACCTCCGTTGGCACATTGGCCTGGAATCCGTATGCCAAAGCAAAAGGTGTCTCGCCGGTTGCCGTCCTTGGGGTTGTTCTGTACGTCCAGAGTACGTAATTGAGCTGCTCCGGCCAGGTGGACGTGTAATCTTCCAATTTCTTTTTGATCCCATCCATGATGGTCCGGTTCATGTTCTCCACTTGGCCGTTGGCTTGCGGGTAGGCCACCGAGGCCTTAGAGTGCCTGATGCCCCACTTCGCCAAGTATGCCTCAAATCCTCTGCCGACGAACTGCCGGCCATTGTCAGTGATGACCTGCTCTGGAATCCCGAAGCGGCATATAACATTCTGCCAGAGGAACCTTTGACATTGATATTCGGTGATGGAGGCAAGCGGCTCTGCTTCTACCCACTTGGTGAAGTAGTCAATCGCTACAATGACAAACTTCCTCCCGCCGGTCGTCGTCGGAAGAGGGCCCAACAGATCTATGCCCCATCTGGCGAAGGGTAATGCAACCGTCATTGGGGTATAGAAACTCGCCGGCCGTCCGGGGACAGGAGCATATTGTTGGCACACTGCGCATTTCCGAGTGTGATTGAAGCAATCCTGCTGGATGGTCGGCCAGTAATACCCTTGTAAGATGATTTTCCGGGCCAAGGTACGAGGACCCTGGTGGCTAGAACAGATACCCTCATGTATCTCTTCAATGACGGCCGCTGCCAAACTCGGCGGGAGGCATCTCAAGTACGGTCCTCCGAACGTCTTCTTGTAGAGCTGTCCATCAATGAGCTCGAAGTTGGGGGCCCGCCTCTTTATCTACGCTGTTCGTCCGGAGCTGCCATCATCCTCAGGCTCGGGGAGCGTCCCATCCCTGAGGTAGTCTGCAATCTCCTTCGACCAATTAGGTTCGGCGATGGAGATGGCCTCTACCCGGATGACGTCCGTCGCCGGTGTCGGGAGTGTCTCTTGTCTGACGAAGCCCCTTATGTGTCGGGGGATGCTCGTCGTGGGGTCATCGGTCGGGGGATTGCCTAGCTTGGATAGTATATCAGCCTCGGCGTTCTCCACCCGCGATACCTGCTCGATTATCACCTGTTCGAACTGCGCGGTTTGTTCCTCCGCGAGTTCCTTGTAGATCTTCATTCTCTCTTCCCTGGTCTCGGCCGTCCCATTCATCTGGGTCACCACCAGCTGACTGTCCATCCTCACCTTTAGACGGGCTGCGCCGAGTGCCTTTGCACATTTTAGCCCTGCGATCAGCGCCTCGTATTCAGCCTCGTTGTTGGTGACTCTGAATTCGAATTTCATGGAGTAGTAGGCCTTGAAACCCTCCGGTGAAGTGATCACCGCTCCTCCGCCGCACCCTTTTGCACTCGAGGCCCCGTCGGTGTACATCTCCCACCAGTTATTGAAATCTTCGTCGCCCTGGGGATCGTCCTCGGTGCGCGCAGTGCATTCGGCAATGAAATCTGCCAGCGCCTGTCCCTTGATCGTCGGCCTCGGTTTGAACTCTATGTTGTACTGGCCGATCATCAGGGACCATTTGGTTATCCTCCCGCTGGCCATGGGGTTCCGGAGGATCGTGGCGAGAGGTTGTGTCGTGTACACCATCACTGGGTGTGCCTGGAAGTACGGTGCTA